CACACACACACACACACACACACACACTTTATGGATGATTTTTATGGTTAAATTTCTAGTATTATACATGAATAAATACAGTAAGTCATTTAAAAATATGAACTAAGACTACATAATCAGCTGATTTCAAGACATGCGGTCAGTGAAACAAGTCTATTCCATGTTTGTTTAAGGTACCACTTGATGTTGTATTCTCGGTGTGTTAAACTCTGTGTTGTTACRTGTTTCTAATGAAAGCTGTATCAGTAAACTTACTGTGCACATCCTCACAAATGTTGAACTCTCTRCTGAGTGGCTCGTTGTTTCAGGAATCAAAGCTGAGGATGGCATTTCACCTGGACTTGTATGAGTCCTTTGGACYGTGGTGGCAGATGGTGGAGAAGTCATTTCCACCCATAAACCTGGACTACTAGGTTCATGGGTGGAGACAACTATATCAGGTGGTTGGGATGTGGGTGGTCGTACATCAGTCTCTTTGGTTGATAATGTCCTCTCRGGTGAGGTTAACTCTCTGGTGGGGACAACTATAGATGATGTGGTTGTTGGTTTTGTAGGAATCAACATTGGAGCTGTTGTGGTGGTGGGAAGACGAGAACTCGCTGCAGACGTGTGGACATGTTCGGTTGTTTTTGCTGATGTGACGGTTGAAGATGTTACCCATGAGGTGGTAGCTGAAGAAACAATTGGATAACCAAGAGTGGTTGATCTGGTGGTTACAACTGAGGGCCTTGTTGACATGGTCACCATAGCAGTAATTGGCCTGACGGTTGCTGAGGTGGCTCTGGGAGTAACTCTTGTTGTCACTGGAACTCTGGGTGTTGTCCTGAAGGTGGCTGTCCTTAGAGTGGTGGTAGATGTTAAAGTGGGTGTAGCTCCTGATGTCACCAGTCGGGTTATGTGTTTGTCCATAACTGTAGTCACATTTGGAGCTGTGGCAGAAGTTGTAGTGTGCACCACGGGCAAGGATATAGATGACACAGTAGTAGATTTGGTTGTCACCTGCACTCTGTCTGTCACTGGTTGTTTTGTCTCCGTAATCGGCTGAATGATGACAGGTCTAAGAGTGGTGGTAATGACAGAGGGTGAAGCTCCTGTAGGAGCTGTTGTGAGGGAGGTCTCAGGAGATCCAGGCACAGGTGGAGGTGGGGGTGTGACCAGCTTTCTGGTTGTGGTGACTTCACTTTCTGGAGTTGAAATTCCCCACATTGTTGTCTGAGCAGTGGTGGCTGCCACAGCAGAGGCTGAAGATGATAAAGTTGGTTTTGATGTCACTGGAACATGAGGAACTTTAGTAGTTTTTGTGGAAGTGACTACATGGATAGCCTCGACTGTCTCGACTGTAGTTCTGGTGGCTGGGGTGGAGGAGGTCTTCCAGTGAGGGGGATACCATGACTCTGATGTTTGCTGAGTAACGACAGGAGGGGTGTAACTCTTTGTTGTTGGTGACGGTGGTGTCGTAATAGTTTCAGTAGACGATTTTGCAGTGAACAGAAGATCTGAAGTCAAAGTGGTTGTTTCTGGAACCACAAGTGGACTTGAAGTTGCCTTGCTGATGGTGGTTCTCCCTGTTACTGGGACGACAGCAGCAAAAGTAGATGCTGTTGGTGTAGACAAAGTAGAAGTTGTGGTATCTGTAACCTTTGGTGGTGCAGCTGTTGTTGTAGAAACTGTAGGGATTCTAGATGCTGGGGATTCGGGTATTGTCACTTTATATGTGGTTGTTTGTTCGGCAGTAGTTGAGGTTGAGACCAGCGGTGAGGTTGTACTGGGTGAATGAATTGAGGTTGTTGTGGGTAACACAACAGTAGTTGTCTGGTCAGTGGGAATGGTTTGAAAACTTCTTTCTGTGGTAACAAGTTGTGATGTCTCGGTTGTAGTTTTACTGGTGGTGAAAGGTAAAATTGGTGTCATGGGTTTTGGAGTTTTTGCTGAAGTTAATGTTGACAAATATCCAGTTCCTGTCTCTATAGGAGGTGAGGCTGGAACAGGAGAGGCTGTTGTGGAGCTTGTGCTTGATAAACCAAGGAGGATGAGATGTGCTGTTGTCATTGTTGTTGTCGTTGCTATCTCTTCCACAGTTGTAATTCTTGTACTGGTGCCCGAGTCCACAGAAGTACTTATACTGGGGACAGTAGTTCTGTCTGAAACTTTAGAGGTTTCTGAGACTGGAGCAAGACCTGGACTGGAAGCTTTTGTAGTTTTTGTTGTGTCTTCTTTATGATGCACAACAGTAGTAGTTCTGATTGTGGTTTGCCCCTCAGCAGAAGTTGTAGTCAGAGTTGTTGCAGTGGTTTCAGCTGTGGTTGTRAAGAACGGTTGTTTGGAGTCAATCAGCATGGTGGAGGAGGTGTCTGCAGCAGTGCTGCTTGTTCTGGAAGTGGTGGTGTGAAACAGGCTGACTGTTAGGTTTGTTGGCTTGGTTGTCCATTTTGTTGCTCCTGTTAAAGTAGAGGTTGGAGTTTTTGTTACTCTAACAGTATCTGGTGACTCCACGACCTCTGGTCTCACAGCAGGAGGCTCTGTTAGGGTAGCTGGAGTTCTGGACAGTTCAGGAGTAACAGGTGGCGTTTTGGTTTCAGGTAACTTTGAGGAAGTGGTGTGTAGACTCACAGAAGGAGTTATGGGGGAGACTTTTACTATGGTTTCTGTGTGTGGAGAAGCAAGGGAAGCAGTGGTGGAAATGATGACTTTCATGGGGCTGGTGGAGGAAGCAGTGTTAGTGCTTGTTGCAGAAGTGACAGATGCAGTGGTTAGGGATGTAGGTGGCACAACAGTTGGAACCTTAATGCCTGAAATGTACAAATAATAAGATCAGAATACCACTAAGCTTGAATGAGAGAAACAGAAACATATTAAAGTAATATTCTCTAATTTAAAATTATTCTGGAAATTGTTCTTTTGCATTGACAGTTTAACAAAACCTTTTGTTGTACTTTTTTATTTTTGTAAGCTGAAGATTATTTTTGATTGAATTTATTTATTTGAGGAAAAGGGCAGATATAAGATTGCTTCTTCTTCTGCTACCTTTCATTTAATTTATGATTTGTATTTTTTTTTTGTTGAATTTATGTTGTTGTTTTTAAAGAAAATAAACTTAAGTAACTAAAAAAACAAAATAAAATTTTTGTTATTGTTCAAGATGGTATTGTTTCTGAAATATGAAATTTTAAGAAAATAATGCACAATACAATGTATTAGTTAGTTGTAACAGCATCGGAAAGTTTAAAAACATAAATGCCTTAGATAATCAGAGCACTTCCTCAGCAATGAGAGTATATTCTGCTGAAAAAAAACACCTTTTTTCAGAGTTAGGTGGTATTTGTTGCAAAAAATGATCAAGATTGATTGGGGCATTTAGCCATTAACTACATTTCTCTTTATGCTTTAACAAATGTACAAATTGCTATAAATGTAATTTTTTTCTAAATAAAGATTACATAGCATATATTTCACTTTATTTATTACTCATTTACCATTTTTCAACCTAGAAAATCCCACTGAGATCTCTTTTTCAATGGAGGCCTGGGCCTGAAGGCAACCTATTGTACATGTTTTTGGGGGTGGGGGAAACTGGAGTACCCAGAGAAAACCCACGCAAGCATAAGGAGAACATGCAAACTCCACACAGAAAGACCCCAGATCCAAACAGGGAATCGTACCCAGGACCTTCTTGCTGTGAGGCATCAGTGTTAACCACTGAGCCGTCGTGCTTATTTCTAATAGAGTACTACAATGATGATGAAAACTGTGAGGATTTTCTTGTGTTAAAGTTCGTTCTTTGTGTGTTGCAGGTGTTGGATAATAAGAATTGATTTAATCCAAGCGTTTAACTTCAGGTATGACTGCAAACCATCTGGTAAAGAACAATTTCAATTGGAAACATGTTTCACATATAAATCCAAACACTACTTACAGTCTTCAACATGGACGCACCGACGGGTGACCTCATCTAAGACCATGTGAGGGGGACAGAAAGGAAGGCAGCCCTCCACTCTGTATAGAACATGATACATAGTTACATCCTGAGTTTATCTCAGCATGATTTCTCTGCAATACACCTCAGAACAGAACAAGACTACAACACCCTTTAAGTACAGCTTTAAATCCACATTTTTTTTAATCTATGCCTTTTTTGTCTCCCTTCGCTGAGGCTGGGGACTTAAAAATGCTCTCCGTCCATCTGTTCCTCACAATGTCAGAAAGCTGTAATTTGAAAGGCTAAAATAAACCAATCTTGGTATAAGTCATCCATGTTGCATGCCTGACCATACCATGTGGTCATATGACATAATCAAAGCCCCGCCCCCTTACAAGAGGAAGTGAACTTTTTTCAACTTTAAAAGCTCCATTTCTGACCCTCTTGACATAATCAGCAACAAATTGGATCAGAACACAGATAAAAAGTTGATCTCACTTGCTTTAAAGCAGAAAGATTTGTTAGTGAAAGGTGTGGTCATGGTGGTGTGGCGAAATCAAACATCATGCCGTTCACRTACATTTGAATCAAGATTCCACACACCACATCTGCACCTAATTCTCCGTAGTCGATCCTAATCCACCCCATTACAGGAATACAGTCTAATTTTTGGTGGGCGTGGCCTAATTACAAATCACGCCATTGACATAAGTTTGGCTCTAAATTCAACATATTTCACCCAATTTGGACCCAAATTACTATGGTCAATCCTAATCCACCCAACTATAGGAATGCAGTCCAATTTCTGGGGGCGTGGACTAACTACACATCACGCCTTGGACCTAGAATCATGAAATTTGGTACACATGTGTAATGTGTCAGGACCTACAAAAAAGTCTCTTGGAGTCATGGTCCAAAGTTGGCTGTTTTGGATCAAAGCTGCCAGTTTGTCTCTTTTCTTGCACACATATCTGAGCTGACTCCACCTACAGCTTTGAACATGCAGACTTCACATGCTGCATGCTTATCTCAACACAGACTGGTGGTGGGATGGTGTGGGTGTGGCAGAGTGACAAATGCTGATGCCTCGCCATTTGTACACAGTTAGCTCTAAATCACACATACATGATCCGATCTGCACACAATTTTGCATGCATCATTAGGGAAACCAGCTACACACAGCAGTGTGTTAGTTTGACAATTTCACTTTAGCCACGTGTTAGTTTACCTAAACAACTTACTGTATGTTAGCTGGTTCCACTCAACTGAACTGAGTAAATTAAAGTAATTTATGCATTTACTGTAAAAGTAAATATAAATCAAATGAATTACATTTACTCAATTCAGTTAGGTGGAACCATTTGACATAAGTTGTTTAGATAAACAAACACGTTGGTTGTTTTTTTGAGTGAGTTCATTTATTCCAGGTGCAGTAAGTTTAAATGCAAACTGTCAGACTGTTGAAACATAGGTCAAAGGTCAAAAGTCTTACCGAGGGATAGTGGTGCAGGCTTCAGCCGATGGATCACTGCAGGTCCTGAAGCAGGGGCTGACGCAAGAGTCATACCTCCACTGACATCGGGGACTTGGCGGGGTGTCTGAACTGGGGCCTGATCAAAACACACAACCTTCCTAATTTAAAGCTATGGGGCACCAGCTGTACAAGTCTAACGTTCAAAAATGACATGTTTTCGATATTCCGAGTATAAAATCCTGATAAATCTTTTCCTACCAACACACAGTGTTTTAGTTATTTAGCTCCATTTCCTTACATTTTGCACATTTTTCTCACAAATACTTCTCATATAAATAATTTTAGTAAATAAACAATAAACATTAATGAGTTAAATATTTAAAATGTGGTAGTGCCATATCTGAATGTTGGTCTTTACAACGGATGCCCCATTAAGGCCACAGCAACATTACTAATTGTTGTTTTTTGTTTTGTTTTTTTTCTAATTGAAAACAAAAAAGAATTTCATCTGTGGAACAATTTTAACTTTACATAAACTTAAACATAAAAAACAAGAAAATGTTTGTTTTATGGTTATAACAATAAAATTTTTGTCAAAGTCACTCTTTATCAGCTTTAATTTTAGATAGCACTATAAAGTTTATTTTACAGTTGTATCAGTGCTTATGTTTAATAAAAAATACTAATATAATAAAATAATAATGTTGAGTTTTTTAGGAGATTCTGAGAACATAGTCCACTAGATAAAATTTATTATTTTAAATCTATACATTTTGGACATTATCACATCATATATTAACTAAAATTACTTTATAAAGTCTTCATTTTCTGACATTTTAAAAGGATCTATATTACAGGCCTAAACTGATCTTTATTCTTAAATGAAGCTTTTTGTAGGAGTTGCACTATGTAACATTATCCTGACGTAGCTAAAACAAAAAAGCAAATTTTACATTAAAGTTCTGAACTAATGTCTCTGGGTCCTTTTGTTTAAGTTTAGTTTATTTCTCTGAAACAACCAACCACAGCTAAACAGAATTAAAGTTGTGGTTTATGTGGAACCAGAAGATTTGTAGACGTGGTAAAGCTGTAGAATGCAATTAAACAAACATCTCTTGCATTAAACTTTCTTTTCAAATTAGAACAACTTCAGGAGCTGCTAAAAATGTTAAAAAAATACGAAATTCATTAAATCATGACTTTTCCCCCAGTGAACTCTGAAAGATGACTTGGATTCTGCTCAAAAATAAGAAAAATCACTAAATCTTGAAAACATGTAAATYTTCAGATTCTTTAAGGTGTATATTCTTTATTTTACTGAGATAAATGTTCCTCAGTTTTTTATGTAGCTGTGGTAAAACTGAACTACGTCACCATGTGAGGCGTGTCGTGCTCTGCTGACCTGTCAGCCTGAACAGCGACGCCTTCCGGAAGCTGTAGCTGTGCCTGAACTTGAGCAGGTGGAGGTGGGGCAGCGTAGCGTGGAGGAAGAAGCCGGGTTTTGCGTGCGACTCGAGCGAGTCGTAGCCCGGGATCCAGGTGTCCCTGTGAAGGACAAACGTGGCTCCATCCCAGAAGACTTCACTCTCCTCCCACTTGGCCAGCCTCACCTGGCCGCTGGGGCTCGCGTGCAGGAAGTAGTTTGGTCTGTCAGTGGCCTCGAAGGAAACTCGTGATGAGTCTGACAGGAAGCAGAGTGTAGGAACAGATAAAGTCTGTTTATTTCCCCATAAATGGTGTCACATTTATGAGGAAAATTAATTGTGGGTTGAGCAGCAGAGTTGGGTATTTGAGTTGCATCCATGAAAAACTAGCCAAACCTTTTGTTCCAATACAAACAGCATATTCTGCTACTGACTCGTGTTCAAAACTTAACAAAAAACACAGATAGCAATCAGGTGCCTGATTGTCAGAACCTGTGAGCAACCATTGGAAATCAAGTTTCCTTAGTCTGGTACCAAACTCTATCCTTTAAGACCACAATGCTCATCCTCACAGAACGGGGTTTATCAGAGACAATATTTAGAATTTAGAATTGAAGAGGATGTAAAGGCCAGTTTGTAGTCCTGACTTCAAACCCACTGAAACTTGTGGGGTCAGCTTGAATTTGCTGTTGATCAACACAAATGCATTTGACCAGTGTGTTATGTTGGCCATCCAATAGAGCTGTGTGACCAAGCTGAAGAGAAGCATGACGAGGTGGTGTCAGGCTGTCTGTGGTTCAAGATTTGTTAAACGAATAAACTGTTAAATTGCCAGTCTGCCTTATTTGTTCAATTATTCAATCCAATTAAAGATGACAAACAAGAGTCCGTCACACAATATTTATTTCATTTGCCTTTATTTAACCAGGAAAATCCCACTGAGATCACAGATCTCTTTTGCAAGGGAGGCCTGGGCCTGAAGGCAACCAAACAGTTATGTTTATGGACTGTGAGAGGAAAACAAAAGAACCTGGAGAAARCCCACGGAAACATGAGAACATACAAACTTCACACAAAGACCCCAGGTCTGACACAGAAACTGGACCCAGGACCTTCTTGCTGTGAGACCACAGTGCTAACCACTAATCCTGCATTAATATAAGATGTGTCAGGTTTAGAGAAGTTTCGACCCAGGGAGCAGGCAGGTCTCAAAAGCAAAACAAATGGTTTATTTTAGTGATGAGCAAATTAAAGCTCTGGCATGTATTAAAAAAAAACAGAGAGAGAGAGAGAGAGAGAGACAGAGAGAGACAGAGAGAGAGAGAGAGACAGAGAGAGAGAGACCCCAGCCCTGTACATCCTGCTGAAACAGGTAAACAAGAAAGTGTGTGTCATGAAACTGAAGACTGAAGACTTTTGCTTCTTGTCCAGGAAGCTTTCTCAGTTCAAAATGTGTGTAGTGTAGAGTTATAGACCTGCCTGAGAAGCCTCAGTACTGCTTAGATTCACCTGGAACTACACTTCCCTCAACATTAATAAAATGAACTGAATTTGTTTTCTCTCACACAAGAGAGAAATCTACAGTAAACATAGTCTTTTCTATTTCAAAATATTGTATGTTTGTAAAATACAGTTTGTTTAATATTTTGATTCCAGTTTATTTTAGGCTTAAATCAGTTTATCAAAAGTTTCAGAATTATATTTGAAACTTGTTTTTTAAACTCACAAAGATGCAGGATAATCTAAATATGTGAACACTCGTGAGATTTATTGTAGGAATCAGCACAGTTCAGACATTTGTAAACAAGACTGGTAATAGAATTTTGCTTTTGCTCCAATTAATTAAAATAATTTGTCTGATGGGGGAAAATAGCACATGTTCTAAAAGCTTTAATAACTTTGGAGTAAATTAGTTGGCATTATATTCTGTTCGCATATCTGGTGTGAAATGACCTCAGTGTACAAAGATTTTGTTCCAGTTTAGCTCCAGTTCCTTGTCTTTCAGGTTGTAACGTTACAGATCAGCACTGGTTCACTCACACTGCTCTCTCTGAACACTGAATAATCAGACGCTAAACAGTAAAAACAGCACAAAGTGAGGAGAGAAGTTCATTTTCTTTGTAAATAGTAACTGACTCACCGTGTGGTCGAGCTCTGCTGAGGCCTGGTGTCATCATGAACTGTGAGAGGATTCCTGCAGCGGTGCTGCTGTTGACCCGCTGCAGGAACACCAGACCACTGGACCTGCTGGCTGACAACAGACTGGTCTGATCCCTGAAGGTGATGAGCCTGAACGGACCCTTACCCAGAACTGCAGACAGGACATGTTAGTGCTGTTACAACCARTCACATCCTGCATATCACAGTTGTTTCACAGAACACCGCTTATTTTTTGGTTTTTATTGAATTTTTCTGCCGGTTTTTTTTACTGCAAATATGACTTCAGTAATGATATTAGATTTATGTCATTATTGGAGAATTTTCAGACAATTATCTTCTAACACATGAAGTGCATTTTGTTCCGAAAGTAAAACTTATATACACACCAGTAAATATATTATTATGGTGTATCTTTTGGCTTTGTTACCAAATTACATGTGCAGCCCAAAATAGATGCACTTTCTCTCTTCACGTTTTAAACAGTGTCTACAGTGGCCTGTTAACTTTGTTTTCTAAAAGTGAAAGTTTAATAGCTGTACATGTCAAATTTAACAAAMTATTGAGTAAACTCTCTGCATTGCAATTTCTCATATTTAATTAATCCAATTAATCACACGATGATACTTTCACAATAAAAGCCCCTCTACAGTCTGTATGGGATACTGGTATATTTTTTAATAAATGAATTGTCTTTTTTTTTWAAACATAAACAGGTTCAACTCTGTTCTTCCCACAGGTTATGTATGTTTTTGTTGGAACACAGCCTGTAAGATTTGATGTTTTAATGGATGTTATATCTATATAGTCTTCTATATAGATTCTATATAGAATCTATATAGAATCTATATAGATTTTACTATGATTTATAGACTGAAGGTCTGACGGTTGTTTCAGTTGTTTGGTATCTGATTTAGGACAAATGTGAATTTTAACAAACTATTGATTATTTAGAAATGTCCAAGTCTAATTGTAGTTCATGTTTTGGTAAATTGGTTTGTATAATGTTTGATATCAAAATGAAAGATTATTGTACCTTTGTTGTAGAATTCACAATCATAAGCTGAAAAGAGAAAAAAAATCAGAGACAGAAGTAATAATATAAATATTACAATTATGTTGTAAAATACTTTAAACACAAGTAGTCATTGCATTTTAATAACTTTTCAATTACAATGTGTTTGTAATCTGTAAATAAATGTTTTGCGTCCAGGAGGTAATTTAAAATCCTTCATAAGGCAGGATTTTCTTTGAAAAGGTCAGTTCTGTATAAAATAAGTCAGCTTCACTCACATCTTGAGTTCTTATATTAAAACTGTGGAAGCTATAAGAAGTGCCATGACAAAAACTACATCAAATGAACAGTAACTGAGTCATCATTAAAAATTGTTAAATAGCTTCAAACCCCTTCACCTTCAAACTTTTTACTTTATGATTTTTTTATATCTAATTTATTCATATGTCAGAGTGAAGTTAGTTAACAAACATCCACATTATTTCAAAAATATAATTTTAATAAAAAAAATTCGATAAAAATGACAATCCAAACAAAACTTTGGGAGACCTTTATTAAGTCTCAAAAATCTCTGATCAAAAACACTTCAACAACCAAGCTTCATCATATATCAAAGATCTTATTGTTCCAGGCTTTCCTAACAGCACTTCACTCTCAGACTGCAGGTTTACTTGTGGTTCCTCCAGTTTCTAAAAGTAGAATGGGAGGCAGAGCTTTCAGTGATCAAGCTCCTCTCTTGTGGAACCAACTTCAGTTTCTGTCCGTGAAGCTGACACTCTGTCTACTTTTAAGATTAGACTGAAGACTTTCCTTTTTGATAAAGCATATAGTTAGACTTAGGTCTCCTGAGTTATCCTAATGCTGCTAAAGGCTTAGACTGCTGAAGAACAAACTGACTATATTTCTTCACTTTGCTGCTGCCTTTAGTCTCTCCATGTTTGTATTGGTAATCCTCACTGTCATTAAAATGTGTTTTTCTTTGATTGAATCTCCACTTGGACCAGCCGGTCTGTGGTTGACTCTGTCCTGGGCCCTCAAACCCCAACAGGTTGAGGCAGATTCTTGCTAATCCTGAGCCAGGTTCTGATTCTGCTATTAATTTATTTATGTTAAAAGAGAGTCATTCCTTCCCACTGCTGCCTCCATGCTGCTCAGGATAGGAGATTGTGCTATAGTGAAAATTTTTATTGCTTTGGTTAGATTAACTTTTTATTAAGGCACAGTGTGTAGTATTTGTTGTTTTCAGCGACATCTAATGGTTGAGTGGTTGAATCATCCTCCCTGGTCCTCCCCCCACCCCCACCCCCACTTCCAAACGCAAAGGAGTTGCTACGGTGTCTCTCAGGTGTCAAAAACCTTTGATAATTCCAACCGCGATGTCTACCAGCAGCTTCAGGGCTAGTGATGTTTCAAGTGGTAAGATTATGAGCTTTAATAAGTAAAATTATCCCAGCTACAACGACAGACAACAAATATTACATTTATAGTATTACAACTAAAACCGTTTTTGACGCCTCCACCGCAATTTGTCCGTCATGAGCCCTCGTAAACAAGATGGCGGTGCAAGATGGCGGCTGTCTGTAATGGCGACCCGCGACCGTGGAGATATAAACAGCTTTTTATAATTAATAAAAATAATAAAAAACAAGGTCTTTGTCTGCAATGATTAGACATGTTTTTTATTATTGTCATTAGTGATTATCTCAATTTCGGCTAAAAGAATTAACAAAATCCTACACACTGTGCCTTTAATTGGCATTTAGTAATGACTATGCATCAATATATTCTATTATAATTGGTTTCAGTTGACTATAATTGGACTTGGTCTGGATCTGAATTGGAATTATGATTTGGACTTTTGTTTCAAACTGGTATTGTACGTAATACGTATGTTACACATAAACTGAATCAACTAGAAATAAAATATTACATGTAAGCTGACTGTTTGTAGGAAAAACAAAAACCTGGGCTCAGTCAAGTTTTTGACCGTACTGCTTGTTGCTGTTTTGTAAAACAGTAGAAGAAAAGAACATTAAATTCAGGACCAGAGGCAGGTTTTACTTACGGCAGAGGGACGGCATGCGCCAGTCGATGGGGACCCCCTCTTGGCAGCAGCGCTGGGCGTACGCCGCCACACTGGTGCAAAAACACTCACAATCACCGCCACGACTGCAGGCGCATGTGTCTGCAAGGCAGTTCATGTAGAACCAGGTAACATCCACCTGAACACAAAAAAATAATATTTTATCAAATTTGTGTCACATCTTAATTACTATAACAAAACAAAATTGTCATGATTGGTGTTCCTGAGACTCATCTTTTGCAGCTGTGGCTGGTTTCCTCTAATGGGCTTCACTGGCATTTAAGGCTCAGTCTTGGTTCAGATCTTCGCTGGAGCATCACGCCTTTTTGGTTAGACTCTAAAAGCCTTTTAGCTAGACTTATTAAGTTACTTAGTCTTGCCTTGCCTTGTGACTTTTTTCTGCCTCAGGATTTTTTACCACTAACTGCCAGTGCCTGCCCCATCCTAAAGATTGTTTGTAACTCACCTGGAAACACTCACCTCTCTCTGGACAGTATGCTCCAGCCAAAGAGTCGTGTCTAGAGCGGTCCAGAACCAGATCACCTTAGATTCCCACTTTAACTTCTTTTTTTTAGTGGTTTCTGTTTGTGGGTCAGAAAACTCACAGAGAACATGGCTGAATCTTCTGGACAGCCTGGTCTCGCAGAATCAGCTGCTGGTCCCAAACCTTCCTCCCATTTGGCCCAACACGAAGCAGCTTTAAACTCTTTGTTTGATCTTAAGACTCAAACCTCACAACGTTAGGACCAATTATCAGTTTTAATGCAAGAAATTAACCAAAAACTCTCATCCCCAGCTCAACMTGCTCAATCTTCCCCTCCTGCAGCTGCGACTCCTACGCTGACTTCCGCGGCAACCTCCCACTTCCGTGACGTTGCTTCACCCACCCCCAAAGGATTCTCTGGTGAGATAGGGAAGAGTGGGAGGTTCTTGTTACAATGTTCCTTAGTTTTTCATCGCTCCCCTCAGTCCTTCCCAGACAATGCAGCCAAAATATCCTACATTATTGCTTTACTTAGAGATAAAGCGTTGAAGTGGGCTGAAGCTAAATCCAATTTTTTTTCACCATTTCTCACACAGCTTTCGATCAGTTTATCATGGATTTTGAACAAACATTTGGCTACAAACACAATGAAACAGAGATCACTAAGAGAATCTGGAACCTTAAACAAGGACAGAGGTCCGCCGCCCAGTTTGCCATAGATTTTCGGACCCTAGCAGCCTCATCTGGGTGGAACTCTCCAGCATTAAAGGGAGCATTCGTAAATGCATTAAATGAGGAATTAAAGGATCATCTGTCCTACAATGATGAACCTTCAACGTTAGAGTTAATTTCTCTAACCATTTGTATTGACAATCGGCAGCATGAGACAACGCAGAAAGAACTACAAGTTCAAGTTTCCCCATCCTTCCTTCCCACAACTTCCTTCCGGTTCTCCCAAGATGGATTTCTTCACCCAGAAAGCCGAACTGGAGTCTGAGTCCATGCAGCTTGGGCGGACTCAACTGACACCAGAAGAGAAGAAGAGACGTTTTGAAGCCAGGGAATGTCTCTATTGTGGCAACAAGGAACATTTGTCACAAAATGTCCGCTGCGGGAAAACGGGCCAGCTCACTAGGCGAACGAGGGGTTCTAGTGAGAAGTTCTACATGTCCCCTCAATTCCCGTTTCACTTTATATACTACCATTATTAAGGACCAGTTAAAGACCCCTGTTCTTGCCTTAGTAGATTCTGGAGCTGAGCAGAATTTGATTTCTGAAGACATCGTCAACAAACTGCAACTTCCTGTAATAGARATTGATCCACCACTGCCTGTTCTTGACATCGCTGGCCAAACCATCAACCAAATAAGATACCGCATCTCTGAACTTCAGTTCATCTCTTCCGGAAACCACCATGAGTCGGGTGAGTTTTTTGTTTTTTCTTCCCCCTCTCCTCAGTTAATTCTTGGCTACCATTGGTTGAGAAAACATAATCCTGTTATAAACTGGGCTGAAAGTAGGATAGAGTGTTGGAGTGATTTTTGCTTAAAACTTTGCCTCAAATCTGCTGTTCCAGTTCTCCCGTTAAAGGAGCCCCCCCACCGAAAGGATTGATTTATCTAAAGTTCCCCCTGCATATCATGATATTGCTCCTGTGTTTAGCAAATCTAAAGCCTTGTCACTTCCCCCGCACAGACCCTATGACTGTGCCATTGAACTTTTACCTGGGGCCCCCCTCCTCTCTAGTCRGCTTTACAACCTTTCTGGTCCTGAAAGAGACTATGAAAAGTTACATTGAGGAGTCTCTTTCTTCAGGWATCATTTGCCCATCCACCTCGCCTGTTGGTGCAGGCTTCTTCTTTGTCGAGAAGAAGGACAAGAGCCTCCGCCCGTGCATAGACTACCGTGGGTTAAACCAAATAACTATAAAGAACAAGTACCGACTACTGTTAATTGACTCAGTTCACAACAACTCCATTCTGCCTCCATTTTCACAAAACTTGACCTCCGCAATGCTTACCATCTGGTAAGAATTAGGAGGGGGACGAGTGGAAGACTGCGTTTAAGACACCACTCTGACATTTTGAATACCTTGTTATGCCCTTTGGGCTCACTAACGCCCCTGCAGTCTTCCAATCTTTAATCAATGATAAGCTACGTGATTTTTTTGAACATTTTTGTTTTTGTCTATTTGAATGACATTTTGATTTATTCCCAGAACCCTTCCCAGCATCAGAAGCATGTCCGAGCAGTCCTCCAGAGGCTTTACAAAAACCAGCTCTTCGTAAAGGCAGAGAAGTGTGAGTTTAATGTTCCTTCCATTTCATTTCTGGGTTTCATTTTTGGACAGAGATATTTTCAGATAGATCCCAAAAAGGTAAAAGCGGTGGCGGAGTAGCCTACCCCAACTGACCAGCGACAAATCCAGAGGTTCTTGTATTTTCCTGACTTTTATCGTCATTTTGTTAAAGACTACAGCAGAGTTGCTACCCCTTTAACTCAACTCACTTCTATCAAGAAGCCATTCGTCTGGACCACCGAAGCTAACGTAGCATTTGGTGAGTTGAAACCACGCTTCATTTCTGCTCCCATTCTGTGTCAGCCTAACCCCAGTAAACAATTTATTGTCGAAGTGGATGCCTCTGACTCTGGCATAGGAGCAGTTTTAAATCAACGATCCACATCTGATAATAAGATTCACCCCTGTGCTTATTTTTCTCGACGTTTGTCCCCTGTTGAATGCAACTATGATGTGGGAAACAGAGTTGTTAGCMATTAAACTGGCTTTGGAAGAGTGGCGGCACTGGCTTGAGGGCTCAGAGGTCCCTTTTGCAATCTGGACTGATCACAAGAACCTTGCTTATCTCCAGACTGCTAAAAGGCTAAACCCTCACAAGGCCAGATGGTCTCTATTTTTTGGACAATTTAACTTTTCTATCACGTACAGGCCTGGCTCCAAGAATGTCCAATCCGATGCCTTGTCTCAACTCTTTTCCAGTTCAGAACCCGACAAAAAGGAAGACCCCATTATTTCTCCTGCAATGATTGTCAGCTCTCTCATCTGGGCCATTGAAAAAGACATCATTGAGGCACAAAGAACCAAACCAGACCCTGAAAGTGGACCCTTGGGTAAGACCTATGTTCCCTCCACTGTTAGATCCAAGGTCTTAGACTGGTTGCATTCTAGCCAGTTCTCCTGTCACCCTGGAGTTTTTCGCATGATGGCTTTAGCTACCAGATATTTCTGGGGGCCATCATATCTGCAGACATAAAGGAGTTTGTTTCAGCCTGTCCTACCTGTGCTCGGTGTAAAAGCGGAAACCACCCACCTGCTGTTTTATTACAACCCTTACCTGTTCCCAGTCGACCCTGGTCGCATGTGGCCCTGAACTTTGTTTCCAGTCTCCCACCCTCTCAAGGTAACACTGTCATTATTATCATAGTCGATCGATTCTCCAAGTCTGCACACTTTGTTCCATTCCCTAAGCTTCCCTCAGCCTTCGAAACTGCCCAACTTATGGTGCAACATGTCTTCAGAATACATGGCCTTCCTATTGATATTGTTTCAGACGGAAGACCTCAGTTTGTTTCTCAAGTGTGGAAGTCTTTTTGCAATGCCCTAGGAGCTTCGGTCAGTCTGTCATCCAGATACCACCTAGTCCAATGGACAGACGGAACGCTGCAAACAGGAGCTTGAAACAGCCCTCCGGTGTCTGGCAAGCAACAACCCATCCACCTGGAGTAAGTACATAACATGGATTGAGTATGCCCATAACTCCCACACTTCTTCTGCTACTGGTTTTTCCCCGTTCAAGGCCTCCCTGGGGTATAATCCTCCCCTGTTCCCTTGTTTTGAGTCAGAGATTGTTTTTCCATCTGTCCAGCTTCATCTCCGCAGGTGTCAGAGAATCTGGAGACAAGCCAAGAGGGCCTTAATGAGAACATCAGATCAAAACAAGAGAAGTACGGACCGCCATCGCTCCACTGCGCCCTCATACCAGATCAGTGACAAGGTATGGCTTTCCACTGAGGACATTCAGTTAAAAGACACCCCCAAGAAGCTGGCTCCTCGATTCATTGGTCCTTTCAATGTTGAACGTATTATCAACCCCTCATCTGTCCGTCTCTCCCTTCCTACCTCGATGCGCATTCATCCCACATTTCATGTCTCCCAGTTAAAACCTGTGGTCMAGCGTGCACTTAGCCCACCTTCCGTTCCTCCCCCTCCCGCCCGTCTTATTGATGACCACCCTGCTTTTACAGTGAACCGTATACTGGACGTCAGACGCCGAGGAAGAGGTTTCCGGTACCTTGTTGATTGGGAGGGGTACGGACCAGAGGAGCACTCTTGGATCCCCAGATACTTTATTCTCGACCCCTCCATTATCTCTGACTTTTACAGGTCCCACCCAGAGAAGTGTCCGAGATCGCCAGGAGGCGATCGTTGACGGGGAGGTACTGTCATGATTGGTGTTCCTGAGACTCATCTTCTGCAGTTGTGGCTGGTTTCCTCTAATGGGCTTCACTGGTATTTAAGGCTCAGTCTTGGTTCAGATCTTCGCTGGAGCATCACGCCTTTTTGGTTAGACTCTAAAAGCCTTTTAGCTAGHCTTATTAAGTTACTTAGTCTTGCCTTGCCTTGTGAYTTTTTTCTGCCTCAGGATTTTTTAYCWCTRACTGCCAGTGCCTGCCCCRYCCTAAAGATTGTTTGTAACTCACCTGGAAACACTCGCCTCTCTCTGGACTCTTGGATCCCACCTCCCTCTAAGGAACTCAATTTTTTTCAGTGGGCCTCCTCCATGTCCTACGCCTCCTGGAAATCTAAATCTTGGAAGTCCACCATTCCTGTACAATATTAACATCACTTGTAAATAAAATCACTTACCTTTTTTTATCCTGCCTCTGAGTCTGGTTTCTGGTCCCGCTCGTTTAGACACTTTCTGTTTCATGACAAAAATCTGTACTACTGATAAAAACAAGCACAACCTATCAAATACTAAAATTACCTTTTCATTATTGGACTTGTTTGATTTTCTCTGCTCTCTATCTCAATCTTTTTTATGTGGTTTCTTAAAGAGTTTGTTTATTTTTTAAGACTATGCACATTAACAACACGTTCCAAAAGAGATAATTGCAATAAGTCATATTTAGCCAATAGCTAATTTCCATCTGCAGAGCTTAGGCAGGTAAAACATGTTGTACCACAATAAAGCACAACCATGTGGGAATTCAAATAAAAACAAAAACAGCAATAAATACAATTCAATACTAATCAACATTGTACAAATATGAAATTTTGGAAAAGTACATTTCAATACCTAAATTTTCTATTTTATACAAAACAAAACATTAAATGTGAACTAAGTTAACCATGCTAACTACACTCACCGGCCACTTTATTAGGTACACCTGTCCAGCTGCTCGTTAACACTTAATTTCTAATCAGCCAATCACATGGCGGCAACTCAGTGCATTTAGGCATGTAGACATGGTCAAGACAATCTCCTGCAGTTCAACCGAGCATCAGTATGGGGAA